TTTGGATGCCCACAAAAGTTGACATGTGATCGCGGATCCCAGTTCACATCGACTTTGTTTAAAGACCTAGCACGACAGTTGGGCATAAAGCTCCAGTTCACTACCAGCTGGCATCCACAAGCCAACGGTATGATTGAAAGACTCCACCGCCAGTTGAAAGCTGCTATAATGGCTCACAGCAAATCAGACTGGACCGAAGTACTGCCGTTTGTCCTTCTCGGAATAAGATCTGCCTTCAAGGAGGACATCACTGCTTCATCAGCTGAACTGGTGTACGGAGAACCACTGCGTCTTCCGGGAGAGTTTTTCGTAATACCTTCCCACGAGAGCAACGAGCCACAAGAATTGGTATCAGGGCTGCGTAAGCATATGAATCGACTAAGACCTACACCCGCATCACGCCACATTAAACCAGGGTCGTTTGTGTTCAAGAACCTCAATACTTGTGACTTTGTATTCCTCCGACAAGACAGCTTAAGAAAATCTTTACAGGCTCCATATTCTGGTCCTTACAAGGTCATATGCCGTGACGAAAAGACAATTACCATCATTGTAAGAGGCCAAGAAACTAAGGTATCTTTGGACAGGGTCAAGCCAGCCTATATTATTGCAGATGAAAGTCCTATTCCTGAGCCCACGAAACGTTTGGTGCCGACTGGACAAGCAGAGGAATCCTCAAAACTACCACCATCTTGTCAAACTCCATCTACGAATTCTTATACAACTCGTTCTGGAAGACAAATCCGACCACGGGTTACTTTTCAAAATGATGTATAGATTCCTTTTCTCCGTGGGGGGCTGGTGTAGCGTCAGCTGATGACGTTGTCATAGCAACGCATTAAGTTAGTCTGATCTTTGTTTTTCTACAGGAATGTACACACAATTTAACTCTTATTAAAATACTTTTCTATTACTTATTTGGTCATAATTTTATTCTATGTACACGAACAACCACGACCAAAAACCTTTCAGGCATTATTAAGCATCTTTCAAGGATGGTTTGTGTGAAGTTTGGCGCAGATCCGTCAAAAGGGCTCCGCCCCAGAGGGTTTTAAGTGGGCCAATGTCCGACTTTTTGAACTACAATGTTTACAAATAAATATGACAGCTGTTACCAGGCAACTGTTTTGTAGGTTTGAATAATCACAACATGCTGTATTAGTTATGATTTTAAATAGTGCCACGATGTTTCTACAGAAAGCAGCACAGAAAACTATTTTACTTTTGGATAAGTACAAATATATTTAACCCCAATTGCAGCACACCTGTGCACTCAACAACATTTTCTCCAATGTTAAATATGTAAACATAAAAACCTTTATAAAAGTATTATAAACAATAAAAGGGATGGAAAATAATAGTTGTTGAGTGCAGCAACGCGCGCTGGGTAACCGCTAGTATATATATATATACAAACATCCTCTTTTATACTTATAGATATTCTGATAATCTAACTCTTACAATGCACCTATTCTGTATGTACCAACACATGTAAAGAATGTTATGTGCAAATAAAATATTTCTATGTCTATGTCTAAGATGGGGACGCCACTATGTGCGTATTTTAACCCAAATATGAGTGTAGGATGAGTGGCGCGATCTTGTAGTCTTGTTAGTGACTAAGGCCGACATATTCCTTAGACACAGCTGTTAATTAATAGCCCAAACAGCTAATGGCAACTAAGGGACCTATAGTTTAGTGGAATCCGAACCACATTCTTGCCTTGGTATTAATGAATTGGTCTAATTATCAGGATAGTACTACCAGCCAACCTAACTACTAGTAGTACGCTTATTCTGCGCGTAACGGGATGAGTGAACGTGAGCGCAAAAATGGAAGAGTCCACCCGCACCTAGCCTACTTACCGGTGTCACTGGTGAACACAAAGTTATTTGTATGGGCTAATCAACCAAATCTCAGTTAACAACAATCCTAAGTTCTCGTCCATTAATTAAACAAAGTCATTGGTAATATACATAATGGATTTCGAACAGTTATCGATAGGAGGTAAATCCATCATTCCTGTACAAAACGTCTTTTGATTAATTTGAAGTATATTTCCTTATTTTATATTAGGCCTATCATAAACTAAACTAAGCCAAACTGAACTAATCTAAATGAACCTAATTGCCTCAGAACGTTGTAAAGGAGTCTTCTTAAAAATATCGTATGGCTTATAATAATGATATATACCACATACTACCGATAGAGCTATTATATCAACTAAAACTGATTAAATATCCAATATATGTTTATCTAACTAATGTATCTAAATGCCATAAACGGTTCCCACACTCCGCACTTCTCGACTACTTCCTTAACTACTTCCTACGTCGTGAACCTGTTTCCCTTCCTTCCCATAGAATTGTAGTATTGCAGATACATTAATCTAACTGTCACAAAGGCTTCCCACACTCCGGACCCCTCGCCTTAACTAATTCCTTTATCCCTTCCTACGTCGTGGACCTAATTCCTTCCCTTCCCACAGCATTTTATAATTGCAGATACATTAATCTAACTGTCACAAAGGATTCCCACACTCTGGACCGCTCGCCTTGACTACTTCCTTCACCACTTCCTACGTCGTGGACCTATTTCCCTCCCTTCTCATAGCATTTTCTTGTTGCAGATACATTAATCTAACTGTCACAAAGGGTTACCACACTCCGGACTGCTCGCCTTGACTACTTCCTCCACCACTTCCTACGTCGTGGACCTGTTTCCCTCCCTTCCCATAGCATTTTAGAATTGCAGATACATTATTTTAACTGTCACAAAGGGTTCCCAGCTCACCTTTACCACTTCCTACTCGTGGACCTGTTTCCCTTCCTTCACATAGCATTTTATTATAAAAATAGACTAACATCTTTGACATTTAATAGTCAATGCCAACATTAAAATAATGTAAAAAGCTGCTTAGTACTAAATATGTACATATATATATATTTGTAATGTAAAGGTGAATTTTAATACTGAACATAAACTGTATATAACTGCCGACTATTATTGTAAAGTTCAATTAAATATTCTGAAAGTTGTGAAATTATAATCTATATATATAAAAGGCAAAGCCCTCACTGACTGACTCACTCACTCACTCACTCACTCATCACTAATTCTCCCACTTCCCATTTACCTAGGAGGCTGAAATTCGGTACACCGATTCTTTGGGCATTAAATAGGAAAACTAAGTAGTTTTTATTCTGATCGGGCTTTCGGGCTCCGCCCCAGTGGCTCTGGAGTTTCCCATGTTAACCTTATGATTTTTCATATTTAAAAGAAATTTCTTAACAGCCGTTTCAATTAAACAAGTTGGTTCTGTTCTATGATGTTCAATAGCATTAAAGTTACAAGGATTACCAACAGGGTGCAGCACTATTATTTTTTTAAATTTATGACTACAGCCAATTTGCAACCAAAAGGTGAGTTAGCGTAGCGAACGAACTTCAACCTGGAAGCGAGTTAGCGTAGCGAACGAGCTAACCTGAAGGCAAGTGAGCGGAGCGAACAAGCTCCAACCTAAAGGTGAGTGAGCGTAGCGAACGAACTTTAACCATTGTATATATTTATAGGTGCCAAACTGTTTACTCCATGAATGAAAGAGCTTAGAGTAAAAGTCGTTCTCTCTGTCTTAAGTAGACAACAAAATTGTTGGTCGCAAAACGTAAACAAATAAAAAGAAGAAGAAGGTAGCTTCTAATGTTATTCTTATGGGACAAATTTAAAAATGTATTTTTACGGTTTTATAATTACTACTGATCGGAATCGTCTAGAATTTTAATGGTGTCTTCACACTGGTGTCATGATTATTTGTGCAAAATTTGAACGCTATAAGTGCAACGGTTCTTGAGTTTTTGATGCGAACACACTCACAGACAAGCGGACAACTTTTCTCCGACTCCGCTATACACGATAAATAGATTCGTTCACTTCGTTCACTCATCTATTATGTCCAGACTAAAAGCCAACTTTAAGTTAATTTTAGTTAATAAATGCTATAGGGCCCTTAAATCACTGCTAAAAAGTAGACTTTTGTCAAGGAGAACCAAAGAAAAACTCTATAAAACTATAATACAGCCAATAGCACTCTACAGATCTGAAACCTGGACATTGACAATGAACAACGAAAAGAAGATAATTGATTTTGTTTTTGAAAACAAAATAAGAACTATCTACAGTCCCATCAACGAAAATGGGGTGTGGAGGATCAGAACAAACAAAGAATTAAGGGAAATCTGTCCTGTGTGTACGTGCTCAACGCTCAACAGCATAGGTTTTGTTATTGCGCCGTTGGCAGACTGCCGCCACTGCTGTACGTTGTCTGTGAATTTTTGTGTTAGCTGTCTTCTCGAAAGTTCTATAAATTTCTCGATTTTTAAAGTATCCTGAAAACATGGTCTCTACTTCCAGAGAAACCTTCCTCGTGGGGAAGGTTCCCCTTCATTTCATAGGCCCTTTCAGCTTCACCCTTTTGATCAATGGAGTTGGTACTTTGGTAAAAAGTCCATACAGACCCAGACGTAATAGCACAAATAAAAAGTAGGAGACGGGCTGGTAATGTGAAGAGAAGAGAGAAAGATTCTACGCTAAGAATGGTATCTAAAAATCTTCCTCAGGGAAGACGACCTCGGCTAAGATAGTAGGACCAGGTGTAAAGAGACATAGGGAAGCGAAGAGCAGAGACAGAATGGATGGAAGACAGAGAGGTGGCGACTTGTTGTTGTTGTTGTTGTTGGTGAGACCAAAAACCTACTGCAGTTTGAGTGGCCACATAGGTAAGGTAAGGTAAAAGCCAACTTGCGAAAGTGTTTCATCGCTTGAAAAAAATATTATATCCTCGACAGTGAAGTTTTTATAACTACGTTCATTCCACGTAAACATAGTCATTTCAACCAATATAGTTTTAGTAGGAAGTATTTGTGTAACCTGTACAAAAAAATCATGTTTATAGGATCTTGGTTAGTAAAAAAATTGTTATGGTAGCAGGAAATGTATGTACCTAGAGTCATCTCTGTTGATCATACGGCCAGTGCGTGCGTCGTACTGAGGTTTGGGTCTGGATAGGCGACGTCCAGTGGCACTGCGAGCCTCTAGAGGGAGGGGGGACAACAGTCTCTCTGGGGAAGGTTGTTTCATTCCCTGCGACAACCTTCCAGGCGACCTGGTGTAATTGCATTTACAAATGTTTAGATATGGCAAGATATAAAAAGTACTAGAATGACTTTTTTTTTTTCTGGGTAGTCCTAGGTAGTCCATGGTTTTAAAAGGTATTGAACAAAACCTCAATTTAATTATATCCATAGGTTACAGTATAACCCTCCCATATCTGGCCACCACAGGACCAAGCCCCCCCCATGGATAAAGATTTGGCCAAATAAACCAATCTATTACAAAAATTATGATTTGTACCTAATACAAATGTGTAATCAATAAATATAGTCAAAAGTATTGTTTAAGTCTCTTTTGAGGTTATACAGGGTGCGGCAAAAAAACCGATCTATTTTCTGTACCGTACTGTTCAGGGACAGGTCGTCTGAGGGTGGTGGGGGTAGGCTCGTTGGAAAGCCTATTCGATGCCATTTTCTGTAGTTATAGAGCATGGGTCACCTGAGCAACGCGTGTTTGTAATCAAGTCAAATTTAAAATCCGATTTACTTTTTTGTTTTGAGGTCCCTAGAGGCCAAAAACACCATCCGTTCAAATTCATATATATTGTGTCCGTTAGCACTATAACTCAAGCAAAAATGATCCAATTTTGATGAAATTTTGCATAAATGTGATAAATAAATGTGATATTGTTAAGGAGGCATTTTAGTGTAAATCCAATCAGGCTAATTGAAATTCACTTAGTCTGCAGGTTTGCTGTGGCGGGGGTATTTGTAAAATGTTGATAGCTTAGTATGAAATAAAGGCCTTTTCCAAATTTGATCAAACTATGCTCATAAACAAAGCAAACTACAACAGTTTGCTTATTCTCCACTCCATAAGAATAACATAAGAATTTTAAATTTAAAATTTTTTGGAATTTTCTCTGTAACTATTAGGCACATAATAACGCTACAATATACTAAATTATTTGTTTTTTTTAAGACCTGCAAAATGGTTTGGAAATAAATTGCAAAACTTTTTGTTTTTAGGAATTTTTACCCCATACCCCATAAACCCCCGTTCCCATGGTCCGATCATGCTGGTTCGCGAACTCGTTCGAATTAATATAGGTTTACACGTTCATGCCAAATTTCATCAAAATTGGATCATTTTTGCTTGAGTTATAGTGCTAACGGACACACATATATATATATATATATATATATATATGAATTTGAACGGATGGTGTTTTTGGCCTCTAGGGACCTCAAAACAAAAAAGTAAATCGGTCCCGGTCTTACCATGAGTACTACAGTAATAGCTTATTCCCTATACAAATTCGGTAAAAGTAAATTATTAAAACCTTCGCACCACATGACCAATTATTTATTAAATTAAAAACATAAACATAACTGTAAAAAATCCTACTTTGACAGTTCTCATTCCAAGGAAGCAACTCAGCGTCACTTCCGTGCATTCTTTTAATTGGGGCGACGTGGATTCCGTCAAGTGGCACAATCATGTGGTGGGTTACCAACTTTAGAACAACGGTTTTAGCGTTCAAAAAGAATCTGCCAAGCCATCCAAAGCAGAGCGGACGCCAGACAACTAAAATTCAGAAGAGTTTGTGCTGCTGTGGAAAACAATCCTCGTAGGCCCGCCCAAAAACCAGCATCTGCTTTGAACATGTCTGCCCTCTCGGTTACACTAATTTTGAAGTTCGATCTTAAATTTTTTATCCCTACAGATTAATTTGTATTTATCTGTTTAGTTTTGTTTATTATCCATAAGGAACCTAAGCGTGATGGAACCTCTCCATATCGACCTAATTTAAAGAATGCATGAAAGTGCCGCTGAGTTGCAATGACTGAATCATTACTTTTTAAATTTGACTTGATTACAAACACGCGTTGCTCAGGTGACCCATGCTCTATGGCTACAGAAAATGGCATCGAATAGGCTTCCCAACGAGCCTACCCCCACCACCATCAGACAACCTATTTGAACGGATGGTGTTTTTGGCCTCTAGGGACCTCAAAACGAAAAAGTAAACAGGTCCCAGGTCTAGGTCTTACTATGAGTACTACGGTAATAGCTTATTCCCTATATAGGAAATTAGCTAAAAACACTTTTTTACCCTGTTGCAGCAAACCTAGAGAAGTCGTTAAACTAATGCTATTTAAATAGGGAATAACTTAAATCTGATATTTTTAAAGAGAAATTTTAGTGTAAATCCAATTAGGCAAATGGAAATTTGCTTAGTCCACAGGTTTGCTGCGGCGGGGGTATTTTCTATTGTTTAGGTGCAGTGGTAGAACATTATAGCTATGGTAGATGTGATATACTATAGCATAGGCTACCGTGAATTTAAAGAACCAAATTTTCTCAAACCGTGTTCTCCCTCATTGCAAACGCAGAGCCATTGACTAAATACAGAATACTTGTAATATAAAAATTTGAAGCCAGGAAAATAGATGAAATTCAGGACCATCTCACCAGGGGGTACTAGTGTATTGGGTTAAATATTAATCAAAACTAGAGGTCGTCCAGTGGTTGAAAAATCTACCAAAAATATATAATGTACAGACTTCTCTATTTTCACCCCTTGCTGTAAATAAAGCATGTGTTGTGCTTATTTTTTAGCCAATTTTAATTTATAAAGGGATTCCGCACATCTACAGTAAAATATCTTGCTAACAGTATGTGTCGATTTTCCCTGTGATGCTCACGAGCTGAGAAAAAAGGTTTTAAAGAAATATGCTTGCCTATTAATATATAGATTAATGCAGTATTGTAGCAAACAGCTGATTGATTTATCATTTGACACAGAATATTGTAATATTGTCGTTAGTGTAGACCATCTCAGCAGATTACACCCCGTTTTTTTGGCTTTAAAGTTTTATATTGCATCGGAAGTCTATTCTGTGTATAGTCAATGGCAGAGCCCACTGCAATGAGCATTTTATACTTATACGCCAACCCCGTACGAAGGACGTGTACTCTGCTAGTTTCAATATAACACTCATACAAAGGTATACTTATACCTTATATACGTATACTTAGCTGGAGAGCTGAGTGGCTGTAGTGCTCGCCTAATAATCAGAAGGTCGTGAAAAAGTCAGCAGCTTTTTGATGGTTTAAACTGGAGTAAGCTGTCCTTTAGCTTTAAATAAATTATCTTTGCTAGAGAGACAGCAGATCTTTGTCCATAACAAAGCTACACACTCCATTAATTCATAATCAGCTTAAAATATATGCAAAGTGATAGTAGTTGTCATCAATAGGAGCGAAGTGGCTCTTGGTAATACGATTGAGCACGATACCAAAAGACACTTTTGCTTTGTGAGATGAACAACTATTTTCATCATACTGTTGAAATAACCTTCTAATCGTTACAAAATTAGACCGCTTAATTTGAGGTAGGCCTATATAAAGTCGTCATCAATGTTTACATTTCTGTTGTTTACAAACATAACTAAAAATAGTGTGCTTTTACTAGCTTTTTCAAAATGTACTAATAAAATTACGCAGTAAAATTTTGGGATTAGGGAACCGAAAAATTTACCATAGCCTATGTTTTTTCTGTTCCCTTAAAGTTACCTGAAAACGATGATTTTGAGAACGATTTAGAGACCTAAAAACGGCTGTATTCCGAACAGTATGATGAAAAAGTAATTTGCTGTTTTAGTGAAAAGATTAAGTGCTTAAATACAGTGGTGGCAATAGTGGTGCGGGGGGGGGGGGGGGGGCGTGAGCTAGGTGACCAGGGTTTTTCGGAAAATTTTACCGGGACCCAGGCCCACGACGGGTGTTTGCCACATGGACTCCCTATCACAACAATATTTATATGAGAATTACAAAAAATTGTATATGATGAAAATTTTTTAAAAACAGTAAAAGCGCTAGGAATAGTAGTTTACAACAGCTAAACTGACACTAATTGCCCGATCGATAGAAATTCTCTACTAATCTAAGTCAAAAAATTGTCATCGATCACGCGGGTTGCATCAACTGTCCTCAGGGCCTCTATATCTTGATTATTTTTTGAAATATTGAACCGGCCCGGAACATTTTTCCCACCCTGTATAGAAGAGTGTGATATAAGACACATGTAGGAGCATGTTTAAATACCTTCTCAGAGGAGAGGAAGTCCTGTTGACTAACATTGGTACGGGGATGGAACACTCCAGTACGATGGGTTTGACTGGGACCTTGGCTGATAAAGTTCTACCTGATCTTCTACCAGACTTGGGCCTCGTTGTCACATCCTCAATAATATTCAAACTGTTGAAGCCACTGGTAAGCTCTGTACTCAAACTATCACACTTTAACCTCGGCTCGGGGCTTACACTGAACGGGTCATTCTGTTCAGCAGCTACTTTGCATAAAATTGGTTCTATTTTTTTCACAACTTCAGGCCAGATTCTTAAAAATATTTGGTCTATCACAGCCTTTTTAATTTTTTCTTTATAAAGTTCACTGCAGTCTACCACACTGTCTTTTTTAACAACAGTCCTAGCCAAGGCGTCTTCACTGTCACCATGAGCAGAGATGATTTCCTCCAGCTGCTCCTGAATTTGCTCATGTCGACTTCGGGTTTGACAGCCAACAGAAGGTTTTACTGCTTCGCCATAAATCCTAGATGTAGAAACAAACAAAAAATAAACCATAGTTGTATGTGTGTTTTTTTAATTAAAATATCATTCCTGCAGATAATTAAGCTGTATCTATTCCTTAACGTTCATAAAGAACACAAAGTTTTGATAAAACAGTTAGCCGGACTCCTATCAACCACATAGGTTTTGATAAGAAATTCCTAGTTCCAACTTGTTTCAAAGCACGGGCAAAGCAACTAGTCTCAATAATGTTAATAAATCAGGTCTAATTATTATTGAGCAACAAAAATCATACATTTTTAATAGATGGGTTTGGATTCCAAATTTATAATACCACCCAAATGATAATCTTAACTTGATGCTTTAACGCCAATTTAAGTTAAGAGGTACTTTCAAGCAACTTAAGGATGGTCAGCCGCAAAGGTAAGAACTCCTCTCCATTGGTTTTCAAGGAGTGGATCTCAACCTAACAACTCACATGCCCAATATGAATTTAACCCATACCGATGAAGTTGGATGCCCTTGTAGATATCTTAAGGATTTGGAGGCTACACCCTAAATCATTGAAAACTTAAAAATATTAAAAACTAGGATTACAGGCCAACACCAAAAATTACTAAATAGAAATCAGCCTTTGCCCATTACCTGGTTGACTCAAATTACTCAATGAGCAGCATAGACGATGGTTTAGAATTTTCCATGTCTGTGGGAAAGGTAGCAAACTTGACACCTTGGAGGAGTTTGAGATTTATCAAATTTACAATGACGAACTATTTGAAGACCATATACGCAACAAAAAGTTACAGTTCTGGTCTCACTGGATTGTCGATAAAATTCTACACTCAAAACTAGCTGACTCATCCAATAACATCAGTGATAACAGAAAGAGAGGAGACAACGTGACGTAGACCTCCAGTCTGCTACCAACCCCGCGCCACACCGGACTAAATCAGTATTATCATGATAGCGCTATTAAATGTTTGTGTATATGTACCATTTTTATGTTCATGTCATACATGTTTTAATTGTATTTGTATTTTTTTTAACAAGGTGCAAGCTTTGAGAATGTTGTCTTCTCAACAAAACATCTAAGCTACTGAGCAATCTTCATCGTTGTACTATTTGACGGAGGAACGTAAAACCTATTATTGTCTTAACAAAATAGTCCAGGGTGCAAAAACATGAATTTTGAAATAAATAAATCTACAACTAAAGTAACTACTGTAGTGTTGTGACTTACTTAAAAAATCACATTAATGTCTGATAATGTAAGTAAAAAGTTATAAGTGATAAGCCATAAGTAGTTATAAGTGATAAGTGATAAGTGGTGTGTGATAAGTGTATAGTAAAAAGTTTTTTTTAATGCCATGTATAAGCTCAAATATAACTGGCACATTGAAAATCAACTGTTACCTATTCTTAAACTGCCCATACTTAAACTTATCTACTAGTTTTATAAATCACTGTATATTATCAAACGCTGAAAATAACAAGTTTTTTTTTACTTCACTTACATTGCTTCCCTCTTTATTTTAAAATAAGGAGCGATGAAACGTCAAATAAATGGGAATGTGATGTACCAAAACATTTCTTTCAATGTTGTTTTAGCAGATAATCCCATGAAAAGAGTAAGTTTTAATAAAGGTTTACTGTAAAATCTAAAAATACTAGTCCATGTTAAAAAAGACAGCTTAAAACCGTGTTATAATTAAAATACTCAAAATCAAGATACACTGATAGAAATGTGATATATCAAGTACGTAACTCAGACTACTGTTGAGTCAGAATCAATACAAATGATCTTAAGGTGGCAAGTCAAGAATGTTACCTTGGCAACAGAAAACAATAATTATTGCTATGTAATATTGGCCTAACTGTAACATGCAATGTATTGAGAGGGCAGAGGGTGTACAAATGTAACCTTTCAGTGCAAATTGATCTACTGTTTTGAGAATATGGTTACAGGAAAAATACTGTCTATTTTAATAAGGGTATATCTATTTTTTTAACTATTTAAAAGTAATTAGTTCTTCTAGATTAGGAGAGAAGAATAATCATCCAACACATCTAAACATTATAATATCAGTTGGATAGTATCCGTAGGCTACTCCAAACTTTAAAAAAAAATGTCATAAAATGTCTGAAGTTCTTTTGCAGTTGTAATGTAAAAAATGTTGCTTACATCTAAAATTATTGAAATAAAAATATACCTTTCTCACAATAAACCTCAATTAATTGAATAATTTAATGTTGAATACCCCACCGCAGAAAACCTGCACAGTGCACACTAAGGGAATTTCCATTTGCCTGACTTGATTTTCACTTAATTACCTTAATTACCTCCTTCGTCACCAAGACCAGCGATGCCGGATGGGTTGTGTCAATACTATTTACATATTACTAAAAATAAAACTTTTCTCTTTAGATAAACTTTTATGTCATGGCGGTGGATACACCCATACTTAATCTTTCAGGCTATAATATGGCCTATCTTTTAGCCATGTCTTCAGGGCAGTGCTAAACTTAGGAGCTTCCAGGTTCTTCAGTGTTTGGGGTAGACCATTGTAAATCCTGAGTGCCATGGTCGGGTATGAATTTTTTGTTTTTGAGAGTCTGCAGAAAGGGATGTCTATTTCATTGTTACGCCTGGTTTGATGTGCATGTATGGTACTTCTTGTAGGGAAATTTAATAGGTTGTCTTTAACATGGACGGAACACAGAAGGAATTAAAGTACACTTATATCTACAGTATTAAAGTTGTAACGAGTTATTTTCCCTAGGGGGGTAAATATTTGCTATTTAGCCGCGCACCTATTGCTGGCATCAGCAAGCGGCGGCGGTGAAGCTAGCGAGCGCCCTTTGACCCGGCTTATCAGTTCGGATAAGCTTGGGTATCCTGGGACTACTGGATAGCCGAGAAGGACATTCTAGTGGTGGATCCCGGACAGTGAAGAAGGCAGTGTTGGTGTCCTGTGTAAACGGCTGGCGTACGTTGGAGGTACAGAGTGTACGTGGTGTGATCGCGCCGAGTGTTGGTGTAAGTTGGGTACAGACGGTACAGACCCACTGTTGGTGAGTGGACGACGTTCCTTACACTTTGGTTTAGGATTTGATTTAATATTAATCTTACACTTTATTGCGAGAGTTAGAGTTGTAACCGTGCTGGTCAAAGCCTGACGGTAGTTAGGATTTATATTAGTCAGGAATAATATTTAAGTGTATTCCTGACGGTTCTGGGCAGGTGCTAGAGCGCAAATAATATAATTTGATTGACTGCAGTAGTAATTATTTTGCGTTGTACCAGGAGTTAGTTATATTACTAATAACTCTGAGGCCCGACAAACCTAGGCTGCACGATTTAGCGTGCGTAGTTGGAAACACGTGGCCAGTAGGCTAGTAGCATTGACTTTATATCTCTAGCTAATATTATTAGCCTATTAACAGAAGCCCAGCTAAGTAACACAAAGTTGGTAGTAGCAGTAGCAGTAGTAGGGTTGTTATTGTTTATTCATTTGATTATTTTAATTTAACCTGAACAGCTTGTTTGGTAATCCAACACGTTATCTTGGTAGCTTGGATAGCGGAGTACCGGCTATCAGATAATATATTTATCTAGTGTTTGGAACGTATTTAATATTTATTTATCTGCTACTAAGTAGCTCAATATTTTAATAGTGCAATTGCCATTTAATTTTGCTTGTTTGGCTTGGTATTTATTGAGACCAGCTATTAGTGGCGTAGTCATTCTACCTATAGTGTACTTGTATATTATTATGTGGTACGATTATTGAGTGAACTGTTTGATTCTTAGCTTGGGCATTAGAGTTGTGTATTGGATTATAGTGGCCTAGTAGACCCCGCCTGGTGATAACACGCGTTGTGGTTTTTATTAGCAAGTCGTCGTGTAACTCACCGTGTTTTAGGCACTTTGGGCTTAACTATTGGATAGTTAGGACGAAGCCCGAGTTGCGTAGTCAGCAACGACCCCCTAGGAGTGTGGAGAATCGGCGTAGGTCTGGTAGTGATTATTGCACGTTTGTTGTGGTGACTTGTTTTTGACTTGTTCACAGTGCCCGTGTATGAGCCAGTCCTATACCGGTTAGACCCGGCTTTTGGCCTAGTGGTTTCCCTGACCTTATCGCAGACCCTGGAATTTTACCCAGCCATTGTAGGCTTCGTCGCAAGATGGCGCCTGCGAACAGGGACTGAGGTTGGCAGTGGTGCTGAGTTGTTGACGTATTAACGGCGCCCGAACAAAATAATTTTATTTGTGCAGATTTGCTGCGGACTTGTGCAGATTGGCTGCGGACCTGAGCTGTTGAGCAGAGTTTTAGGCAGACCTGCTGTGATTTTATAGTCGGTTGGGTAGGCCTAACCTGTTTTCTGTTACAGCGTGGTGTGTTGTGAACCCTAATTTATTTAGTGGTTGGATACATAGATATTAGTTGGTAAATATTATTTTGCTAATTAATTGAGCTTTAGTGTTGAATATTATTTGAGTGAGAACCCTTATTGTGTATTTGTGGTTTGACGTTCACACCTATAATTGGTTTGATTTATTATTTTGCTAATTAATTGAGCTTTATTATTGAATATTATTTGAGTGAGAACCCTTACTGTGCATTTGTGGTTTGACTTTCACACCTATAATTGGTTTGATTTAATAGTACGGTGTTAAATAGATTTTAATTGGTTACGCCCTTATTTTTGCGGATTTGTCGTGGTGTTTTGAATTTTAAATATGGTTGTCACTACGAGTACGACGTCTGTGCTGGGCGGTACACCTATTACATCTGCTATTACTACGACTAGTTCTGGGGTTAGCTCCGAACTGTCGGTGATGACGACATCGTCATTGTGGCCGGCGTCTTCGCCCGTTTGGCCGACAATTTCTTCGGTAGTGGCTACGACGGTGACAACTTCGTTGATCTATTCCGCGCCAGCGACTATGTCCTTGGGGTCGCAGCCCCGGGACGGTCGCGTGGGTTGGATATATGACCTCTCGAAAGGGGAGCTCATGAG